TAGGGCTGTTCATCTAGAAGTCTTGGCCTCATTAGACGCAGATGCCTTCCTCAACGCAATAACAAGGTTCTCACGACGCAGAGGTACACCAGAGCGTATTAGGTCGGATAATGGGACAAACATGGTACGGGCAGCCAAAGAGCTCAAATTGGCAGTGAAAAGTTGGGAACAAGATGACAGACTCAGAGGTGCCTTACTGAAAGCAGATATTGACTGGGTCTTCAATCCACCAGCTGCCCCATACATGGGGGGAGTATGGGAAAGGCAGATTCGCACAGTGAAGAAGGTTCTGCAGGCGATTGTGGGCTCACAAGTTTTAGACGATGAACGTCTGCAAACACTGTTCTGTGAAGTGGAAGCCATAGTTAACGAGAGGCCAATCACCCCAGTTCCAAACACGCCAAATGAACCAAAGGCTCTCACTCCTGCTGATCTTTTGCACTTAAGTCAAAAGGGTAATCTTCCCTTAGGTGGAAGGTCAATAGGCGAATCATACCACAGAAGGTGAAAGCATGTCCAGTACCTTGCAGATCAATTTTGGAAGCGCTGGCTGACGGAGTACCTCCCTCAACTCAGAACTCGACAAGTGCATTTCAGATCACGGCGCAACTTTCGCCCTGGTGACCTAATCATTATAGCAGAAGCAAATAGTCCACGCAACAAATGGCACCTTGGTCGAGTGATGGAAATCAAGGCTGGCGAGAATGGACTTGTCCGACAGGCAGTGGTTAAGACGTCGACGTCCACAATGCTGCGACCTGTGACAAAATTATGCTCGTTGGAGGGAGCAATGGAAAGGGTTGACGGAGTCGGCCAGGAGAATGAATTGGGTATCCACACATGAAGATGGTGATGTGCGAACGTCAAAGGACCGAGATGTCCTAAGGAACTGATAAGTACCACAAGCCTGAGGGCAGCTTAGTCACAAGAATGTGACACAGTTAAATACCACCAGCCTGAGGGCAGCATAGTCACGAGCACGTGACAAAATTAAAGTTAAATACCACCAGCCTGAGGGCAGCTTAGTCACGAGAATGTGACAAAGTTAAAGTTAAATACCACCAGCCTGAGGGCAGCTTAGTCACGAGAATGTGACAAAGTTAAAGTTAAATACCACCAGCCTGAGGGCAGCTTAGTCACGAGAACGTGACAAAGTTAAAGTTAAATACCACCAGCCTGAGGGCAGCATAGTCACGAGAACGTGACAAAGTTAAATACCACTAGCCTGAGGGCAGCATAGTCACGAGAATGTGACAAAATTAAAGTTAAAATACCACCAGCCTGAGGGCAGCTTAGTCACAAGGACGTGACAAAGTTAAATACCACCAGACTGAGGGCAGCATAGTCGCATGAATGTGACAAACTTAAGTATCAAAGGCCTGATCTGGTCTTGAGCGTGAACGCTCAACGGAGTGGGTGTTACAGCAAGCGGTACATAATTATGATGACATATAAACAAATGTTATGTTAGGCTGTAACTCACAATGTAGAGTGTTGAGATGGTTGAAGATGAGAGGCCCAGAAGGAGGTTGGAGGGTGTGAAGGGAGTTTGTTTATGTATAATTATAATCACCTGACTCAGCCATAGCTGACCAGCCAAGGGGCCAGGCTATAGGGTGGGCATTTCAGTATAGTTACCCATGAGTCAACACCTACCCTGGCTTCTCTCTAGACTTTCAACACGTAAGTTTAATTAGTACTTATTGTGTACACAGGTAGACTGTGTCATTGTTTTTGTGTTAGACTAATTACATAGGCATGATTGTTATGTAAATATATATTGGATTAAACATTTATGTAAGAGTGCCTATGTATGACTTACTTGAAATACTAAATGAATTGTATTCAACAGGTTTGACCGAATTATAATGTTCGTGTACGACGTGAGAAGTATTATTCACCCTCTAACCGTCTCATTGGCGGTTACATATACTACAATAATCACATAGATATGTTTACAATGTTTATGCATAATAAATGTGAAAAATGTTTTTTGGGGTTTCAATTAACCAATAGTCATGCCTACAAAACAATCTTGATGCTCTAAGTGCATGTATGTGTTAAATAACGAGTAACTGATCCACATTATTTTGGTAAATAAAGAAATGAAAAGCAAGCACTTAGCCATATGGATATAGTTACACGGAAGAAGGGAAATAAGGATGAACCATGGTTTTGATGGAAACAATGTGCTCTGGGACGATGCTCACAATGATGAATGGGAGAAACCTCTTTATGAAACATCTTACCTACTAAGGATGAAGCTTATGTTACAGAACACACACACACACACACACACACACACACACACAGTGTAACTTTGTGTGACGCATTGTCTGACTTGGGGTGGCTTTGAGCGAACCATACACTTGATATTACAATTTATGTATCCTTCCTGTCCATGATTTACAACAATAACTGTAGGGTAAAAGTTACAATATAATACTAATAACACTGTCATGTATTGATACTATGACTAGTTACCAAGATACAGAGCACGATGAACATAACATGATAATGATAGTGAAGCCTGGAAGGGTTCATATCATAACTTGTGTGTTCGTGTGTATGTTGCCCCGTGAGAGTTACCGTGGGCCTCCATGTGCCCAGGTGGGATGGTCAAAGTATTACACTATAAGTGTGTCAAATGAGGAGTGACTGACCCACATGTAATTTAAGGTTTTTGAAATATGTAGTTAAATTAAACACGATTTTTCATATAGTTACACGAATGATGGGAAATAAAAGATATAGATGGGGTGTGGTGGAATCATCGGGGTCTGGCCACAAGTGCTGTAAACGTTGTGTGGATTCACTGGGTGGTTTGGAAGTGTTTATTTCCATTCATACTTTCGTAACTACAACCTATGGTAATTTTTCTTCGTGTTCATATATAATGAACATAATGCAGAGTATAAAATGTCAAATTCAATAATTATACATAATATCATCTATACAGCCATACTATGACTGTGTATGTTCGTGCATGTGTTGCCTCGTGCCCAGAAAGGACACTGTACTAACCTACAGCACCGCCCCAGGTGGGCTAGAGAATATGGTTTCCGAGTGTACATTCACCTCAAGGCCGAAATGTGCATACGCATCTGCATAGGTGTTTAGGATCTCTTGTAGGTCGCGTTCAGTGTGAACAACAAGGGTGAGGTCATTTGCATATTGAAGTTCAGTAACAGAAGCTGCCGACACCTTTGTTCTTGCCTGAAGTCGTCTTATGTTGAAATGACCCCCCTTTACCCGGAATAGGATGTTCACCCCACCGGCTAAATTGGCACTGGCACGAGTAAGGAAGGCAGCCAAGAAAAGAGAAAAAAAAATTGGTGCCAGTACACACCCTTGTTTAACCCTTGTGCAAGACACTGCTGTTCATGCCATCGTGGAGTTGCTTCACAATGGCGATGAATTTTGGTGAGCAACCAAAACGGCTGAGGGTCCAAGAGAGGGCTTCCCTGTTGAACGAGTCGAATGCCTTGGTTAGGTCGATGAAAGACATGTACAGGTCACGACATTGTTCTCTGCACTTTTCCTGTATCTGATGGGCAGCAAAGATCATTATCAATGGTGCCAAGTGATGGTCCAAAGCTGCATTGAGATTCTGGGAAGAAGTTTTCTGCCTCAGGATAAAGTCTGTTTAGGAGGACTCGGGTGATAATCTTGCCAGCAACGGAGAGCAGCGAGATCCCGTTATAGTTGCCACAGTCTGACCGGTCTCCCTTGTTCTTATAAATATTGACAATAGAGGCATCTTTAAGAGTTTGGGGGATTTCCTACTTTTCCCATATATTATCCAGGAGAGAGAGGAGACGGCTGGTAAGCAGTGGTCCTCCTGCTTTATACACCTCAGCTGGGATTCCATCAGGCCCTGAGGCTTTGTTATTTTTCATCTGTTTTTCAACTGTTTGACGGCAGTAGCCACTTCATCCAGGGATGGAGCATAACTGAGGTGGGTCAGCTCCGGATGCTGAGGGACCTGCTGGGTAGTCAGGACATGTACATCAGTGTTTCGATTGATCAGTGAATGGTAGTGCTCTTTCCAGCGTTGAAGGAGGCCTTCATTGTCTTTAATTATGAAGTAACCACCAGAGGAGCGGAGGGGGGCTGCGCCACGGATCATTGGCTCATAAAATGTTTTAATGGAATTAAAAAATTCGCACATCTTGTGCTGATCTACAAGTTTTCATGCGCCACATGCTTTATTTTTAAGCCAGTCGTTCTTTAGATTGTGAAGTTTCCGCTGGGCCACCGCTTTCTTCTTGCGGAAGGTATCAGCTTTGGTCCGAGACTGACGGTTGTTCTGCAAGTCAGTAAAAGCAGCACGTTTACCATCAATGAGTACATTGATTGCCGGGTCATTTTCATCAAACCAGTCCTGGTGTATTCTTCAATCTGTCCGAGGGTCTCTCTGCAGGTTTTTGTCATGACAGTGTTAAGAATACAGTATATAGTCTCGATTTACGCGGTTTTCGTTTACTCGTTTGGTCATTTACGCGGCACCTTGCCAGACCGACAATTTTTATTTACGCGGTTCATTCCATCATTTATGCGGGAAGCGGCGCAGGCAGGGTGCGCACAAGGTCGCCTAGTCAACAAAACATTACCGAGTTCTTCACCCGCCACCCACCACAGCCAGCGCAAGTCATTGACAGTGATAGTGATAGTGAGGATATGGACTTTGAGGGGTTTGACAAAGAAGCCCTGCAAGCCTCTGTAGTGGATAGTGATACAGGTGATACAAGTGATACAGGTGAGGGCCAATAATCTACCCTCTGTCTCAGAACCAACCCCAATCCCTGTGTACCCAGCCATCTCTTCTACTAAGTAAGTGTTAAAAACCCTAATATTATTGATGTTTCTCTTAAATATTAATTGTGTGTGCATACCATCATAAAATTAAGATGTTATTTTTACTACAAGTACTATTGTGTCGGAAAAAGTGTAGTTTGGGGATCGGCCCAGTCTCTATTTCAATTAATCCCATATGTTCTGTTATTTCGTTTACGCGTTTCTCGCTTTACCCGGACCTCCACGGGTTCAATTGACAGCGTAAATGAAGATTATACTGTATCCCATTCAGCACTGGGATTTGCGTTGTTTGCTGTTGGGTTGTTTATCAGCCCATGTTCGAGCTGCTCTATGAAAGCATGTGCTACCGATGGATCCTTCAGACACTTACTGTTAAAATCTCTTCTGGAGGGTTGCTGCCTTCGCCATTTTGGGGCAACGTGAAGTGAGAGCTTGGCTCTGACAAGTCGATGATCAGTGTCAGAGAGGTCTGAGCCACGCATGGCATAGGTGATGATGACATCTCAGCGATCTCATTCTCTGACAATGATGCATTCTATGAGATGCCAGTGTTTGGAACGTGGGTGTTGCCACGAACTGTTGAACTTGTCGACCTGCCTAAACGAGGTACTGTATTGGTGATAGTGAGGTTGTGTGCAGCACATTTGCTAAGGAGGAGTAGGCCATTGAGATTACACTTGCCTCGTCCATTTCTCACTATGGTTCCCTGCCAAATGTTAGTATCTGCCAACTCTGGCATTAAAGTCACCAAGAAGCACAACCTCGTCTTCTCTGGGGATAGAGGTTACCACTCTGTCGAGGTCGGCATAAAAGGCCTGCTTGATGTCATCCTCTGCATCCAGAGTTGGGGCGTATGCACTAATGAAAAAGGCATGACGTGAGTGATTCAGTGGGACTTAAAGCGTCATGAGGCACTAGTTGATACCAATAGGCATTTCAGTTAGCCTGTGTAAAATACGTTAGCGGATTGCAAAGCCAACTCCAAAAATGCGGTTTCTCTCCGCAGCAGGCTTTCCCTTCCAGAAA